TCCGTCGTGGCCCGCGTCAACCCCGTGCGTTTGGCACCAGCTCGTCGGGTCGTCCGACTCCTGCTCTACTCACCTCTTACTTCGCTCGTGTGCCGACCCTTCCTGATCGCGCAACCCCGAGCTTCCAACAGATGGTTAAGAGAGCTAACTAATCGCGCAGCCAGAATTCATAGCATGCATGCATGCGCGAAGAACACGGAATTACAAGGACTTAGAAGAAGGGAAGGGGGAGGAAATTGCCTACGTCTGCATGGTCTGATCGCGGCGTGGGGGACGTAGCCACTCTCCACGCATCGATCTGATCATGCAGTCCGCGGCTACCAAAAGCGCAGCAAAAGAAAGAGAAGGAGGGCGAGAAGACGAAGTGGAAGAAGAAAGATACAGTTACAATGACGCCCGCCCAAAATTACAGTTACTCACACGATTAAGAGCGCCTACTAAACAGAGTACTGTTGCAGCCGCATGAAGAAGCGCGTAGACAAAAGGCGCCGCGCGGCAAAAAATAAATAAATCCTAATTACTGAACTCCTAAATTCCTATCTAATGCGAAGAAGCGAAAAGCGCAAACTTCAGAGGGAAAGTCTGAAATTCCGAGAGCCATCGGGGCTCGACAAAATTCGAAAAAGACTCAAAAGAAAAATTCAAAAATAACGAAGCAAATTCCCGCGCGATGTCCGCGCCCAAAAGATCGAAACCGAAACGAAAGAAACGACGTCAACATTTATTAATCGTGCGCGCGGTGGCGCGCCAGCCATCGAGCTGACCAATCAATCAACCGGCGATCCAAGGACACACCCAGCTGCGAACCCCGCCATTCGAAAAGAAGCGACGAAAAAGACGAAAAAAGCAAGGACACCGATGCAATTTCCCACCGATCCCGATCTCCCGTAATTGGCCCAACCTTCCCAACTTAGAACCCCTCATTGCAACCGCGCAGAAAGTCGTGTGTTACACAAAGTGGTTCGTGACATATGTGACGCCCAGGGGGCTCCAATATTAGCAAGCTCCTGCTTGCTTGTTGACAGGTGTCGATTTCTCTAATCGATCGACACGTGGAGCATCTCTTTCTATGCCACTTACCGTTCAATTGAGTGTGGACGCCATCCAACTTGGCAACACTGCTCTTCTACTAATTCCTCAGGGTGGGCTTTCGACATTCCAAGGAGGGGGGATTACTCGTGCCGCTATTATGGCACGTGTCCATTAGCCATGCATCAGTGCAAACAGGAGGGCAGACCCTAAACGTTCCCGGGGAATGGCAGTCGAATCATTTAGGGTGGAGGTGGCGGATGGTTCAGGGGGAGAGGGGGCATGAAGCGGTTGATGGCGGGAGAGGCGAAAGGAGGAAGGGAGCGTAGTGGACTTGAAGGAGCGATGGATGCGGGGGAAGCGAGAGACCTCATGAAGATGGCGAAAGGCGGCGATGTAGTCGGGGTAGATGGAAGAGAGGGTCCGTCGCAGGGCGGCGCGAAAATCTTCATAGTTTTCGCAGGCGGGAATACTCCCAGATACAATACAATATATTTCTACGTGGTTATATTCCCGCCAGTCTGCGCTAAACAGGAGCACATGAAGGAGAAAGGAATCAACCACAGAGCGGGTAGTGGCATGCGGATAAACGGAGACTAGAAGGCGGGTAGCGTAGAGATGGTAGAAGAGGTGAGGGGGAAAAGGACACCAACCATCGGGGAACGGGGGTCTATCGGGAAGACGGGTAAGCATGAGGTAGTCACCGGGTCGGCGAGAGAACGACCGGGGACGAAGCCCGAACGCCGAGATCTTGATGTAGACGAATGGAGGATCGGGACGGGGAGCCGGAGGGAGCTGGCGATTCACTTCTTCTTCTTCTTCTGCTTCGTGATCCCTCTGTTGCGGTTCCATCGTCTTCTTCTTCTAGCGGCTCCGAATCACGCCATGGGTCCCCGATCGACGGATCGACAGGGGAAACGTTTGTCGTGGCTCGTTTTCCGTCTGCGGTCTCCTGGCACTTTCGTTTCCTTTGCTCTTGCGCTCGTTCTCGAGCCGCGTCGCGCACCACAGCCTCGAGTCCTTCGTACTCCGACTCCGCTTGCTCGTTTCCTTCTTCTTCTTCCCCGTCTGGTTCCACCTTTTTCTCCTCTTCGTTCTTTTCCCGTGGTTGGCTCGATTCGTTGGCTATCCCCGCTTCGCTTTCCGGTATGTAGTCTGGATCGTCTCGTTCTTCTCTCGATGGCTCTTCTTCTTCCTCCTCTTCGTCTGCTCCCCCTATCTCCTCGTCCTCCGTCGTGTTTTGGCTCGCAATCGGGTCCCAAAACGTGAGATCGATAACGTCGATCTCCAAGTAGAGCGCCTGGGAGGGATAAAATCTGTTGTCCTCGTCAATCTCCGTACACGTGGACCACACAAGGTGCGGCTCGAGCGTTCGAGACAACACGTAGGTGCCAGGCTGCTTGTCACTGTGCGACAAGATGTCCAAGGGTAGATCGTCCACCAGCTGAGTCAAAAACACCAGCAATTCGTCCGTGATGAAGGTGAGATTGCCTTCCTCCACCTTTTGAACACAATCCCCAGCAGGTCGCCTTGCTCCGCTGTTCTCCAGGCCTGGATGATCAGAAGCTCCACGCTGTCTTCTGGGTGCTCCGGTCCTTGTCCGAACGGGGCCGCTTCTGACCAGCGGAACTCTATCTCCAATAGGCAGAAAGCGAGCTCGACATAGTCCTCCCACCACGCGTCCCACGTCTCCTCGCTCAATAGCGGCGCACTGTTGTCCTTAACACGGTAGGAGAGAGTGGGGGCCTGTGCAGACTGCCAAAGGGTGGGGATGCTGGAGGGGAGGCCGAAATAAGAGACGCGACGATGACTCATTGGGGCGGCGCGAAGGGACGAAGCTCCGGAAGCACGATCGCCGACGAGCTTCGAGATGAGCGGAGCTGGAGGTCCGTGTCATGCGAAGGCACGACAATATCCCCTCGTCTGGCCAGGAGATCTGTCCACGCCGTCCTCACTTCCCTAGCCCAGGCACGCAACGTGCGATAGATATCGGAATGATTCGCCGACGGAATCGCTGTGATATCTCCCGTAAAGACTACGACGGCAGCGGTATGACTAATCCCGGGAGGGGATAGCCGTCGAAAGGCCGAGATCTCGGCCAGAACGCGCGTAGTTGCCTCTTCCGTGAATCGGAACTCTGCCGCCGCGTAGATCGCCGACGTATTGAAGAAAGCTGCAAACCGGAGGAAATCAGAGCAGAGATGGGGCCGCTGCATTTGCCGTATGATACTGATTCGCCCTCGCGGAGTAAGAAGCCGCGCGCCAATCACTTGCTCTGTTGCAAAGCTCATGGTGATGGTGGCGGGTTAATGGAGAGAGAACAGGAAGGAGACAGAGAGATAGGAGAGAGGTAATCGTCGCCTTCCTCCGCAGTGGAGGAGGAATCGGATGAAGGCGAAGATGGAGAAGGAGGAAGGGGACGGAGGTATGACACGTGGCGGATGATCGGGCGAGCCGATCGGCTGTCGGATACCTCAGGCGCAAGTCGCACGGTGTTCACGTCGTTCAGTCCGAGTTCGATCACGCAAAATCGCCCGAAGAATCGTGGCGCTAGCTTACCCTGGCGAGCACATTTCCTCACCTGCACAATGTCCCCTAATTTGTATTGGGGTCGTGGGCCTGCATTCCCAATCCGGGCCTCGTAACTTCGGACCTGTCGTCCCTGGGCCAATTCGGTCATTCTGTGCCGTTTTTGGGCTAGCCTTGGCAGGGACCGTTCCATCAGTTCCAAGTGTCGCTTGGCCTTGTCCCGAGCCGTGGCCCTGGTGGGTCGTCGGTTCAGTGTGGATTCATCTGGTAGGCATGGTATCGAAACGCAAGCGACGCTATTGGTCCTTAATTGGAAGGGGCTTACCCCCGTCGATTCATGAGGTGTCCCGCGATGGACCGCCAGGATATGGTCGACGATATCGGGCCAGGGTCTCGGATCCCTTGTCGCGATATTCCGTCGCAACGCTGTCTTTATCACCCTGTTCGCGTTTTCTACCAGTCCATTGGACTGTGATATGTGGAGTGCAGTGTTCCGTATAGCGACGCCATGTATGACCAGATTCCTCAGTACCTCTCCCCTAAATTCAGCCCCGTTATCGGTCAGGATTTCTTCCGTATCCTGGTGCATCCCGAGAAAACGGTTGACATTTTGGCGACTTGTCGCGTGCGACAAGGGTAGGCCTCGATCCATTTCGAAAAGTGGTCAACAAATACCAATAGGACTGAATACTCACAACTATTAGGGCCAGGGGGCACCACTATGTCGGTAGTGTCCATGCTGACTCTTTGAAATGGCCGTTCAACTACCGTTGGCACCATCGATCTTGGCGGCTGAATCGGCGCCTTATCAGTGGCGCAGACTTGACAGTTGGCGACGATATATTTCACATCGTCGCGGATATTGGACCAGTACCACTCATTTTTGTCGATAGCCGACTCTGTGATCCGTACGACGAAATGAGCCGCAGTTTCTTAATGTGCCGTCCTAACCCAGTCATACCTCATGATCGGATGCGGTACAACCATCTAAATCCCACTGCCGTCTGTTTTCCGTTTTTCTAATCTGCCCTCTATCCATCTGTAATCCTGATCCCTCTGGTTGGCCCTCCTCCGATCTTCCTTGGTAAAATCCTGGAGGGGGTTGGCGACTAGGGTGGCAATCAAGGCAATATCAGTCCATACTTCAGCCCTTCTAAACCTCCGGGTCTTTTCCAACCCTTCTGACATGGCATCCAAAAAGCGGGCCTCGGTCGGAATCTTGTCAGTCCGACACAAGGGGCACAACCACGGTTTACTATCATTTCTTTATTGGATGCACGGGCCATGGGCTCGCACGACACCCTGTTGAAAATCTATCCAATCCACATACCCTCCCCGTTAGGACGCATGGAGACTGAGTACACGCGGGAGATAGCTTTGCAAAAATAGCAAAATTTGTCAGGCAGGGAGAGAAGAGACGAAGAGGGAAGGGGAGAGAAAGGGGTAGTGGGGTTACCTCCGTCACCCATTGCCACCGTTTTGCTTCTTGCCACGTGGGAGAACTGCCACTTGTCCGTACTTAGGCTCGTTGGTCAAGTCCGGTTCTTTCCACGGTGTAATTTCCTCGCCCTTTGGTTACCTTGGCAGGTCGATGCAGACGTGTCAGTCCGTCTGCGTTGCCGTGTCGCTCTGTCTTTCGATGGACGATATCGAAGTCGTATTCTTGTAGTCGCACCGCCCAACGGCCAATCATGCCCGTGTAATTGGTGAGTTTCTTCAACGCCAGCAAGGGTTTGTGATCTGTTACGAGGCGAAACTTCTGTCCGTAGAGATACGGATGGAAGTGCTGGATTCCCAGCCGACTGCATAGCATTCGCCTTGAGGTGTTGAGTTATTCCTTCGTTCATCCGGTACCGTACGTGACGCGTATTCGATGACGTGTTCACGACCATCGTTCCCCTTCTGCGCCAAAATAGCGGAGATAGCTTCCGGTTGCCAGTCCGTGATGAGAATGAACTGTTTCGAGGGATCCGGCCGAATCAAAATAGGGGCTGTCGCCAGAGCGTCCTTGAGGGTTGCGAAAGCCTGTTGACAATCCGCGTCCCAACTAAGAGGCTGGTCCTTCCGTAGTAGGTTCGTTAATGGTCGCGCAATCGCGGCGAAACCCTTGATGAAGCGGCGATAGTACGATGCCAAACCCAAAAAGGCCTGAACCTGCGTCAACGACGTGGGAACCGGGGCTTCCCTTACCGCCGCGACTTTTCTTGAGTCCGGCCGCAGCCCTCCACGTGTCACAACGTAGCCCAAAAACGAAATTTTTGAAAGGAAAAATTCGCTCTTTTCGAGTGCGATCTTGAACCCTGCATCTCTCATCGCTCCCAACGTCCATTCGATGTGTTGTGTGTGCCCGTGGTAGGTCTCTGAGTAGACAAGGATATCGTCCATGTACACGATCACGCAAAAGTCGACCATCCCCTGTGTTAGCTGCGTCTTGTTGACAAAGTTCTGGAATGTCATATTCATTGCTTGCTGAAACGTGGTAGACGCGTTGCAAATCCCCATCGGACACCGAACCCACTGCCACGTGCCTTCAAACGGTACAAAGGCCGTCTTCGGCCGATCTTCCTCCTTCACCAGAATATGATGGAAGCCATGCCGAATATCAAATTTGCTAAAATAATTGGCGCAACCAATCGCATCCAACAAATCATCAATCCGGGGGAGGGGGTACACATCTTTAATCGTGATTTCATTCAACTTGCGATAATCGATACATATGCGAATTGATCCGTTTTTCTTTGGCACTAATACCACGGGAAACGACCATGGTCCGGTGGCGGGTTCTATCCATCCGCTGGCTTCGAATTCCCGAATTCGTTCGAGGGCCTTTTTGCGCTCTATCAAGGAGTATCGATATGGCTTGCAGTGGATCGGGGAGTGATTCCCCGTCTGTATTTCGTGTTGAATGACTAGCGATAGGCCAATGTCAGTGTCGGTTACGCTAATCGCTTCTCGATACTTCGTCAAAATGTCCGCAATCAACCGATGAATCTCATCGGGTACGTACTGTGGCATGTGTAACTCAAAGAGTTGGTCCCAGATACGTACGTCTATCTGTTTTGTACGTGTAGGTTTCGCCACGTCGGGCGAGGGTGCAGAAATGAAGGAATGGTCCGATCGCCAGGAGAACACCGTGACCATCATCTGGGCGTCTTCTTCCCGAATGACCACGTGTCCTTCTGGGGTGATTCCGTCACAAACATCCTGCCATGGTACGGTTTTGGTTGCGATTTTTACCCCAAGTTCATCTGAGTCAGCTTCAAGACGCCAAGGGGGTTCCGAAGAATTGGCTTCTGCCCCAGGCGCAACAATCGCACTTATTTTGCAGGTGTCAAGAGGAACCTTGGTAGATCCGTAATGTCGCAGTAATGTTTTTTGTCGCTGTATCGAGAGAGAAGCGGGTTGATTCCTTCGTACAGGGTTTGAGGGGGTTCCAAGGAATCGACCATCCTCGAAATTTGCACGAGGGGTTCACCCAAGATCATCGCCTTGGTCCTTTGAACATTCCTACTGGTCAAATGCATCGTTCTTGCTATCGTTCTGAGTGGCGGGTAGTAAACACGCTGTCGTGCTAGCTTCGAGATTTCTGGATCGTCCTCATCACTGTTGTCCGCCTCATTCGCCGATGCCTTTCCATCTGCAGATTCATCCCAGGAGATCATGTGGAGAGTCCCTGCCATCATCGGCGAAACCCGTGGGACTGCGTTGATGGTGGTACGAAGGGTTAGCCTCATAGGCACAGCATAGGGCTTTCCTCCTGTATTTCGGAGGATGATCGATCGTCGTTCGAAATCCAGGTTTGCTCGTAACGCCACAAGAGCAGAAAGTCCGAAAAGGACGTCGTAGGTGTTCACATCTAATACGACAACATCTCCTAGTGCATGCACTTTTCCTAATCGAAAAGCGACAGTGGTCATCCTTCCTACTATTTTAATCTTTTCTTCGTCAACCGAAACGAGCTGATCTTTCTCGGAAAGCATGATCAGATCGTTTTTCCTACCTGCTCTTTCGACGACTCTTAGTGAAATAGCCAGCAGAGCCGCTCCCGAATCTATAATTGCGTTGTAAGGAATTCCCCAAATTTCGATATCACATTCTGCGGATTTCCACGGGATGGTTTTAATCCGTAGGAAATTATCGTCTTTCTGGATTAACCCTACCTGAATTGGATCCGATGTGTCAACCGGGTTTTCCTCGGGCGCGGGGTTTTTAGAGCTTACGTTCGGTATTCGGGCGTGGGCGAATCGTTTTCGGTTTGCCTTGCAGTGCTGTAGCATTCGCTTATTAGCTTGTTCTGAGTTCGAAAGCAAATGACCGATCGGAAGCGAGATCCGATGGTCCAAGGCTCGAACGATGTTAAGCACATCGATTTCCCCAGTGACGAAGGTGGGTCCTCCCGACTCCATCTCTCCTGGAGAAGGTCGCCATTCCGCCACCTCTTTCTGATCTGGCGTTGGTCTGATCGTTCCGATCATTCCAAGTCCAGGATAACCAAGTGATACGTACTGATCCAACGGGATGAGCTCAGCGGCCTCTTCCGTGGTGGCTAGGGCACTTCCCCCACCCTCTATTTCTTCCATTAAAGCTCTGACCCGTCCTGGTCCGTTAGCGACGGGGGCCGCAACCATCGGCGCAACCCCGATCTGCTGTTGCGGGGGTCGGTGGGGGCAATCACGGGCTAGATGTCCTGGCTGATGACAGGTATAACAGACATTCAAATTGTTCGCGGCTCCCCCGAGAGCAGGCGTCGGGGACAACCCTTGTTGGATTGGAGGGGCGCGTACTGCGATGGGCCGCATGTTTCTCATCATGGCTTCCAGCCGAGCATTGTGCTCTCGTTGTTTCTTTTTGCTTTCCTGGATTAGATTAATCAATGTTTTGGTTAGTTCGAAAATGGCAGTTGATTCATTCGATCGTACAGGAGTCTCTTTTGGGGGCGGGGGTGCCGTTCGTACTGGTGTTGGCATCACAAGAACTGGGACACTCGGAATCTCACTTGGAATCAGTCGTTTAGGGGCTATCTGTTCTATGTAGGTGAGAGAACCTGACACAAACCCCATGTTTTCGAACTTGTTTGCAGCGCAGCCAGTTCGACTTTTGCCCTTGCAAGTTCGGACGAATCTCCTTCCCTAGAATAGTCCTCTCCTTCCAGGAAGTTCGTCGCGAATTTCCGTTCCATTTCTTCTGCGGCGGTCATGATCTACTGCAGCGTATGATTGATGGGGGAAAACTGCTTTCGTAGTTTCGCCCTTATTGTTCGGCTGCGGAGCCCGTCTATGAACAAATCTCTCCCTACTTGCTCACCTCGTTCAGTTTTCACAAACATTTGGTAGAACCGGTTTCGATACTCTGCAACGGATTCGAGGGGTTTTTGCACACGGTCCTTGATCATGTAAAGCGCTTGCTCTGGGTGAACGTAATCAAACTGATTCAGAAAGTCTCGTTCGAAGGTCTGAAGATCTACCCATACATAGGTGCTAAACCAGTGGTGAGCGTCTCCTCCCAGTCGAGCGGGGATGTTCACCTGAACTTCGTTATAGTCATACTGAGCGTGGCCAGCCAAACTCCTGCGAGATGATGTGCTGGGTCGAACAGATAGAGATCAGGTGGCGTCATGGGAGCCCGTGCTCGTGGGGCGGGTTGATTAAGATTTGGTTGATTAACATTCTGTTGCGGATTCGGGTTCTGTACATTAGCAGCCATATTGGCTGCTCGTCGATTTGCCGATCTGCTACGGGTGACGATAGGGTCGCGTCTATGCGCGTTCCAAGGGCGAGGCCGCCCTCGGTTAGCCAGATCGCCGAATTAACGTGCTATCAATCTTAAGACCCAACCACGTGTCGGGCTCCGATACCAACCTCACGCCCAGCACGACTTCGTGATCGGAGTGGGATGTGGGCCTGGAAGTGCGAAAAGGGGTGTGCCAAGGATTTTTGGGAAAGTCGAGTCCCAGGTCAGAACTGAGATCTCCTGTGACAGGGTCTTTCGGGGGCACGAGTGCAATTTGGCGAAGAGGGCGCCTTCGGGTTACAAGGCAGATGGTACGTGTGGTTCGCTCAAGACCGAGCGAGCCATGGGTTTCGGGGACGGCGGTTCGGGGGTTGGTCCCTTCGGGGTGGGTGGGGTTCCGATGAGTCTGTCTGTCGGAAGTTGCCATGTGGCGCTGATCGTCGTGCGTGCGGGTTAGGCCATCTGAAATTCGGGGTTCTCTGATCGCCGCGTCGTCGGCAGTTTTCGCAGGGTGTGCTGGGCCAGTAGGGGGCTATGGCCGGCCACGGAATGACGCTGAGTTGATGATACGGAAGAAGAAGGCGGAAGAGAGGGAAACTGGTAGTGATGACGACATATCCCGGGTGGATGAAGTAGTAGGTATGATCGGGAGAAGGGAAGTCAGAGCACCGGGGGTCGCTAGAGGTGGCGCAGTGGAATTCCCGAGGACAT